CAGAGAGTAAAACATACCGCACTATCAATATGCTCAGCTATATAATTAGCAAGACCAAAGACTGGAGTGGCATATAAAGCTCCATGTTTCCCGATTGGATAAATATCAAAGTCCCTATTGAACACACTCGGATTGAGCACTGGTATCACCTGTTTGCCGGGAACTGTCACGAGGCTAAAACCGAAAGGCCAGGTCAATTCACTTGCCCATTGTATCATGTTTTGATGGGCAAATGGGAAACTTATTTGCTAGCAAGCCTAGAGTATATGGTTGCATAAATTATCGAGGATAAGTCAAACAGTCCATACAGGAATGTGCCCGTCTCCTGATTTGAATATGGGCAATATTTAAGTAATTATATTTTCAGAGGAACTCCAACATATCCTGGTATCCTGTTGTCTTTGCTCATACATCATGCCTTGATTTGGCGATTCCATAAGCCAGCGTCTATTGGGCACCGTAGCGCTCACGGTAATCCTTCAAGCGCTGGATCTCACCGGCGCCAATTTTATCGCCCAATTTCTCAATCAGGTCGTGGAGACCAAGGACTGATCGGATGGGGATTTTGTCACCAAGATCACGCTGGGCAACGCCAATGGCGCTCTTGGTCTCGGTATCACTGACACGTTCCTCCCGATCCAGCAGGACAACGATACCAGCGACAATACCGCCTTCCTTCTCAATAATACCGACAGCTTCACGGATGGCAGTGCCGGCAGTGATGACATCGTCCACAATGACGACCCGCTTGCCCTTCAGCGGGGCACCAACAATGTTTCCACCCTCGCCGTGTGCCTTGGCCTCCTTGCGGTTGAAGGAGTAGCTCACATTGTCCCAGGTAGTCTTGCCGGATAGAGAGTCCCGCACAGCGAGCTCGTTGGTGACCGATGCGCAAATGGGAATACCCTTGTATGCGGGGCCGAAGATAATGTCGAAGTTGGGCTGAGCAGTACCATCGGGGTTGGTGGTGACGAAAGGCTCGGCGGAGAGCACGCTAGCGTATGCAGCAGAGGAAGCGCGCAGCAACGGTGCAGTGTGCAGGAGAGAAGAGGTGAAGAAGTAGGGCGATTCACGGCCGGACTTCAAGACATAGGTGCCGAACGAGAGGACTTTGTTGGAGATGAGGAGGGGTAGGAGGGTGGACTTGTAGTCCTGATCAGCAGATGGGGGAGGAACAGTCGACATTTTGGAATGATTCTAGGGAAGTGAAGTTCAAAGAGTCAAAAGAATTCCCAAGTCAAAAAGTTCCCAACTCGAAGTCAAACGGCAAAATTTTGCCGGAACTTTAATTCCATGGAGGGGCAGGCGGTGTGGCCTGATATTGCGCCATACTAGGTACGAGATGTTGATTTTCCTTATAAAAGTCCCATTAATGGTCATTTTATGATAAAGAAAAGTCCTAGAAATGAAATATTCACATATTATTTCCTTACTATGCACTTTTCCCCTAATTTTAACCCCTAATTCTCCCCTAATTCCCCCTTAAAGTAACAAAACACGTGCCTCCGATGGCCGGCCTTCCCCGCCAAATGTTGTCCCCCCAAATGTTCCGTTCACCGGTATTCTTGATTCCTCTCCTTCACTCGTCTTCGAGCCTCACAATTCTTTCTTTAATTCACTTTCTATTTCTTTTTTTTTTGTGTTTTATCCATTTGTTCCCCAAGTACTAGACATTTAGGTGTCACAGTACACAGGGATTGTGCTCAGGGTCTCAGACAGTAGTAGTCTCATCTGCACAGGTGTCCCAGTCCCACAAACAATCTAATTAATTATTGTCCCGGTATGATTATTCAAGACAATCCTCGATGGATGGCTCATTAAATCTACGTGATATGCTTACAAAAGACTAGATTAAAATCCGACACGATGCATATCCGGGAGAAGCTTGCCAAAAATGAAGCGGAGGGAAAGACAGGAATCTCCTTTGAGTTCTTCCCTCCCAAAACCGCCCAGGGTGTACAAAATCTTTATGACCGAATGGACCGTATGCATGGGTTAGGTCCTTCATTCATCGACATCACCTGGGGTGCTGGCGGTCGCTTATCGGATTTGACTTGCGAGATGGTCAGCGTGGCACAATCAGTATATGGCTTGGAGACCTGCATGCACTTGACTTGCACAGATATGCCAATTGAGAAAGTTGACCAAGCGCTCCAAGCTGCCTACAAAGCTGGCTGCACCAATATTCTGGCCCTTCGAGGAGACCCACCGCGAGACAAGGAGACATGGGAGGCCGCAGAAAATGGATTCTGCTATGCGAAGGATCTGGTGAAGTACATTCGGGACAAATATGGCAACCACTTCGATATTGGTGTGGGTGGCTATCCCGAAGGCGCCGATGACAACGCGGATGTGGACCAATTGATCGACCACTTGAAGGAGAAGGTAGATGCGGGCAGCTCTTTCGTAGTCACTCAGATGTTTTACGATGTTGATAACTTCGTCGAATGGCTGAAAAAATGCCGAGCCAAGGGAATCACTGTCCCCATCATTCCTGGTATCATGCCCATTCAGACATACGCTTCTTTCATTCGTCGATCCAACTGGACCAAGGTTAAAGTGCCCGATCAGTGGATGGAGGCCCTTGAGCCGGTCAAGAACGACGATTCTGCGGTTCGAGATATCGGAAAGACTTTGATCGCCAACATGTGCAGACAGCTGATCGCTGCTGGCATCAAGCACCTGCATTTGTGAGTGTGCTTTACTAATACCTCAATCCAGGTATCTCGGCATGTACTGACAAATTGCCTAGCTATACCATGAATTTGGCTCAGGCCACTCAATTAGTTCTCAAAGAACTCGACCTTTCTCCGTCGGAAGAATCTCCTATTCAACGCGCGCTGCCCTGGCGGCCTTCCCTTGGCCTCGGCCGACGAACGGAGGACGTGCGACCAGTGTTCTGGCGTAACCGGAACTCATCATACGTTGCTCGTACTCAGACATGGGACGAGTACCCTAACGGTCGCTGGACTGATTCTCGTTCACCTGCGTTCGGTGAACTTGATGCTTACGGTGTGGGCCTGAAGGGCACGAACGAGCAGAACATCAAACTTTGGGGCGAGCCTAAATCGATCAAGGATATTTCGAACATCTTCGTTGACTTCTTGGCTGGCAAGCTCGACCGACTCCCGTGGAGTGACTCGCCAATCACAACCGAGGCCCACGATATCCAGGAAGACTTGCTCAAACTAAACCAGCGCGGATTCCTGACAATCAACTCCCAGCCCGCTGTTAACGGAGTCAAGTCGTCTCATCCTGTGTACGGATGGGGCCCTAAGAACGGTTTCGTCTACCAGAAAGCCTACCTTGAGCTTCTAGTTCCCTCCAACTTGATTGATGAGCTCATCACTCGCATCGAGAAGAATGATGACTTGACCTACCATGCCACCAACAGGAAGGGCGAGCTCAAGACCAACACCCGTGACAGTCCAAATGCCCTGACATGGGGTATCTTCGCTGGACGAGAGATCATCCAGCCCACAATCGTCGAGACAGTCAGTTTCTTGGCCTGGAAGGATGAGGCATACCTCTTGGGCGACCACTGGTCTAAGTGTCATGACGCAGCCAGCCCTAGCCGCAAGCTGATTCAGCAGGTCATGGATGACTGGTATCTCGTCAACATCGTCGACAATGACTTCCACAGATCTAACGCTCTGTTCGAACTATTCGATGGCCTCGAGGTCAAAGATCTCGACGTCGAGGTCGAGATGTCCGAAAAGCCATTGACCAACGGTCACGCCGAACAAAATGGCGTTGCTGCCAACTAAACCAGTTCCCCTCAACTCAGAACTGGTTTGCTATTTCATTCACACCCCCCGACCCCCTTCCTCGGTCGTATGCCATCTTTGCAAACCTCAAACCTCTCATAACACCAACTCAACATACCTAATTCAACATCACTCATCTCAACGATAACACAGCCCATACAAACAACTACTCCAACACATCTCGGGCTCCCCCTGCAATGTCTTATGGCGTCACGACTGAAGACCTCTCAACGATTTCTTCCTCAGCGTTTTCATTTCAACATAATGTACCGATACCCCGTCTCTTTTAACAATGGCGCTTCGTCGATCGGATTCTCTTTTATTTTCTCGGGTCCATTCTTCTCCAGGCCCGGTGCTTCTCTTCTGGACTATATCGTATTTTCTGTTCGGTCTAGTGCAGTCCAGAGCAATAGTCCAGAAGAACGGAATCAAAAGAATGAAAGAAAAACAAAAATTCAACATAATCTTGCCTTAACGGCTTATTCCGCTCTTCTCGTCTTTTGTTTTGTTTTTCTTCAATTCATAGAGCTCGCAGTGGCGGTTATAACTGCCATAGCCCAACCCTGCCTTTTCTCTTCCCCTTCTGCTTCCTTCTCTTCTTTCGGTTCTTTTCTTGAATGTGGATATCTCGTTCGCACCGGAAAAAAAGGATTGCTCAACGCATATCCGGACATGAAAGCGAAAGGAAGTTTCTATGTTCAAATTCCTTATCTTTTCTCTGCTTTTGCATTGCTTTTGCAAGATTATCCCGGGGCTAGCATACAGGACCATTCAACACCAGGATGACGGAGTTGGGTCTATTTTCGTTTTTTGTTTTTTTGACAGCAGAAAGAGAGAACATCATACACAGGATTGAATTCCGGATTTAGGGGGACACCACAAAAGCATGTTATTTCATTTCTCTCTTCAACATGGGAGAGGCACATCGGTGTGCAGAGCATTCAGCTTTTGTGTCTCGGTTTCAGGTCAAGATCAATATCAATCTAGGTTCTTGTCTACGTACATTGATATACACAAGAGTAAATACTATAGAAAAATATCCAAGTTCGGGGCGTATTTAATAATAAGCTAGAAATACAGTCGCAAGACGGTAATGTGTAGGTAGGCGAGTAGGTAGAACCGCTTGACAAAGACAAAGATCCGAAGCACCAAAACGACCAACCTCCCGCTTCCAGACTCGGGTGAATGGGAAAACAATCTTGCACAAGCGTATAGAGAAAGGTAAGGCTAATTTCACATTATCAATGCACGGCCAACACATTGGAAGGCCCATGCAAATGGCCTGGCAAACCATACAATCCAACTAGTCACGAGAACGACGTAGCCAGCAGTACGGCCTATAAGCATAGCAGCAAACCCAAGAATCAAGAGATACACAATGGCTTGGAAAAGCTCCATTATGAACCGGCTGATAGCCTGGTCACTGCGACCCTTGGGCCATGCGCCGGTGGCCTGGTAGCGAGATACCCCGGTGTAGATGCATTTGAAGACACGCCAGCAGTGACTGGTCATGTTCAGGGTGTGGTCGACCACAAATTTAGCGTAAGGGCTACCTGTGCCCATGCGAAAAGCTTGGTTCACTTGGGTGACAGCAACAACAAGAATATTGAAAAGAAGCGAAAAGGCCAAAGGGCTAAGTCCCTGGCCTTCGGAATCGGTTTTTTCTTGGGAGCGCATGTCACCAAGATCGGCAGAGACGTCTGTGATATTTGACTGAAGAGACTCTTTGGGACTCGAAACCTGGAGCCCATCTAGCTCGGCGATTTCTACGACTTTACCAGAGGTACAGAGACGAGGTAGAGGTTTGAGCCGCTCTTCCTTTTTTGGTGAAGTATCCGGCTTCTTTGGCTTAGGAGGAGACTTTTCAGACGCAGCTGGTTTGGCAAACTTGGAGAGCTTGTCCAACTTGGACGGCTTTGCTAGTGCGGAAATCTTTTTGGCTGATGCAGTGGGCTTGTCAGGTTTCGCCGACGAACCAAATACCTCCGATAAGGTCACTCTTTTCGGTGTTGATTTGCTTGGTGTAGGTGGTTGCGAGGAGGTTTGTTTGTTTCCCTCTGGTTTCCTTTCCGGCGTGGCTTTTTTGGGCGGCGAGGCAGGCCTGATTCCCGAGACAGGTGGGGTGTCTTTGGTGCACTGAAATGACAGTTCCGAGTGTGATGATGCCGAGTTATCCCTGGATGGAAGCTTTGATTGGGGACTTGGTAACTGCTGCTGGTTGGCACGCTGGGGTGACGCGGAACTACTCCGCAGAGACTCGGCACGTGTACGGAGGGACTCAGTCCTGTTGCGCAGAATCGTAGCAATGCTATCTGTAGGCGATCTAGCCAGTCCTGTAGGCCTTGCCAGCGCGGAGGTACGGATGAAGCCACGGATAGTATTCGACGCTGTACCTGCTCGTTCTTGATTCCGATCTTGCACATGATCTTGGATACGACCCTCGTCGTCTCGGCCTTTCGCTGTGACGGAGATGCTTCCGACTGGACACGTTTGCGAAGTTGTCAATGTACGTCCCGTCGGCTTGAGATGCACGTTGGGTCCGCCGGGCCGCAATCCCGGTGGTGTGGAAATCATTTGAGCCTTTGCCCGGACGGCTTTGATGGCCTCTGCGGTGACTACGTGACTTGTGCCACCAGGACGACGCAGCCCTTGCGGCTTTGGCGAAGGTGCTTTTTTTTCGGGGGTGGGAAGCATAGCGCGTGTGATAGTGGGTGTGATAATGAACACATCGTCGTCCCCCGAGTTTCCTTCTAGGCTCCTGGACCGCTCCGGTGTATTGCTGGTAGGGTGGTAATTCTCCTTGCTCGAGTCCTGGGACCTGGTTCGTGGAATTGGAGATGGGTTCTGGGAGCGAGTCCGATCCTGGTACAGAGGTGACGGCTTCGAGCATGGGGCAGGCCTCAAATTCCGAGAAGTTTGCGGTCGCTCTTCTTGAAGGACCGTGGTCTCCTCGACTCGGTGGGTGGCTTGTCGGTCTGTCGCTTTGCTCACTTGCTTCGCCGCCTGTTGCCTGGTCTTGGAACCCACTGATAATGGGAGTGGATGCAGACTGGCATCGTCTTGAGAAGCAAACGTGAGAATTTCGTCTGGATTCTTCTCCCCGCATATTTCCCTGCATCCTAAAAAAGACCCATCCGCATTTTGGGGGTGTCGTTTCTCCTTAGCTTTTGCGTGTGGTTCCTCCCAAATTGTGCTAATCCGATTATACCCAATTTCATCCGGGCTGTAGTAGTTGTTAGCTACTTGACGTTGCGACGCAGACGCGGGCTGGGGCTGCTGGGGCTGGGGCTGGGGCTGGGGCTGGGGTTGCGAATGTTGCTCCAGCTGAGAATTTTGCTGAGACTGCGGTAATGGGCGATGTTGGTCTCGTGGCAAGCTCGGCATTGGACGTCCATCATTTGCACCGTCATATGTGTTGAACTCCCTCAGGCTCTGGGTTCTTTGTTCGCTAGGGCTGAATTTGATCTCGGGAGATACGTTGCGACTAGGCACTGTGTCCGGATCTGCCATCTGGCCACCCGCCCGGTGTACCCTTTCGATGCTTCGTTGATACTCAGCAATCTGCTGCGCTGTCATCGTTGGCGGATTGGGATCTTTTGCAGTTGGCATATTCACGACGAATCGGTCTTCCCAGTCGGTGATAGAACTGCCCTCGGCAGATACTGGCGAGACGGAAGGGTGAGATCGAGGGCTGGAATCAGTTGTCCCGTTTGTTCTCACTGATTTCTGGGGTGTGGTTTCGGTTACATCCGTGTTGGCCCATTGGTCACCCTGCTTCTGCCAGCTGTTTTGCCTGTCCTCGGAAGGGGTGGTGGAAGCATTTCTCCTTGACACCTGCGCAGGACTGCTTTTCGCGGTGCTTGGACTTGGGATGTCTGATGGTGCATTGACTGCCCGGGGGCTTGCCTGGTTCTGGCTAGTGCTGGCGGGAAGTCTGGTGCGATGGTAGGAGATGCGCGAGGTAGGAGATTCGGTTTTGTCGTGTTCCTTGCTCCTAGTGCGTCTTGTTAAGAGCGGTGACTCCTCCAATTTATCCCGGATTTTCCTCCAGTACGGATTTTGGTCATGGCCTTTGTCTGACGACCTAGGCTGGTCATCGACTTGTCCCACGGAGTGGCTAGCTAGGGTGAGTTTAGGAATTCCAGTGGGACTAGGCGTTTGACTTGAATCATCGCTATGACTTCCAGAGAAAGTCCTCAGGACTGGCAGTTTGGTGGTTTTTGGTAGTTGAGACATATTCCCCGATGCGGTTTTTGTAACGACATATCCTGTTGGTATTCCTTCTTGCAGGTATCGAGGTGGAGGTGTTGCTAACAGCCGCGGAGAACGCTTATACTCGACTCGGTACGCTTTGTAGGGACTTTCGCGTATAGGTCGTGGTGAGAGATTCACAAGGTGTCCATCAGGCAAATCGACATGAGCTTCGTCCATGTTGTGGTGGTGCTGACTGGGATTGCGGTCGCGTTTGCCAATGCTATTGGCACAGCACAGTGAATGATTAGCCTAGCCCATGCCGTATATGAGCGATGAGAGAGTAGTGGTTCCGTGTGATGGGTCTGAGAAAAGGACTATGTCGGTCGGCCACCGTAGAACGAAGTATATGAGAAACTAAGAGATGCAGGCGGTTCAAAGAGACTAGCTGTTGAAAGGTCTTCTCAGGTGGTCGCTCATAACGCGTAAGAATAATGTGCTGTTGGTTGGAATGCCAGGTGATGAGGAATGCCAACCCCTGCGATGAATGGCATTTGTAGTGTCCCGCCACCATTTGGAATGGCAGTTTCCTCTCGTACATTCATGAGTGGCATAATCTGCGGAAGTTGCGAGGGCTGAATGTTGAGAAAGCGCGATCCAGGTATCTAGATCATACGCGTGGACGATGTGGACTCTGAACCCCGATATTGTAGTGGATATTCCTCGGCAGGCTGTTCTTCGCCCAACCGCCTATCCACATTTGCAACATTCCTTTCACCGCTCTCGGCACTTGTTTTAGAATCTGGGATCGCTGCCCGAGTCTGCTAGACGTCGCCAGCGCGGGAACCGAGGACACCTAATGTCGTTACAGCCAACATAGAAGAAATATCAGTGCTACCATCCTTCGCTAGTAGACACTTCTCTCCTAGATCACGGAGGGCCTTGTTGATCTGCTCCCCCGCGCCAGATGCATGAAAGATACGCGCGATAATTGCATGAACCTTGAGAAGCTCGGGGCGCGGAAGATCGTACCTTTGGTCATAACAATCGAATTCAACGGTTTCAGGGAGGTTTAGTCGTAGCTGTGGCCGGTAGTTTTGAATGCGGTATCTGTGGCGCTGGGAGGTCTCTTCGAACGAAAAATCAAACCAGCCAAAGGATCGATGTAGCTGACTCGACATGGTCATCGCATTGGTGGTATCGTTTATGTTCTCCCGGTTGAAGTTGATCGCCTGGATAGTTGGGAAATAACGGATGAGGTTTGTCCAGATGATGTGCTTTGCATATCCTTCAGACTCCGTGCTACACGATGCAAGGGAAAACGGGATTATATGCGCGCAGTCTGTGTATATTGAGGGGCTGGTGTTGCTTGCATCGAGAGAATCTTCATCAAATAGTCCGGTCACAACACATCTGCCGCCATCACGGGCAAGGCATTCTGTCTTTAGGCGAGCTTCTCTTCGCATGGGCCCGGCCGACTCGGAAGCGATATTGTCGATGGAGTCCTCCATTCCAAAACGCGGGGAAATGCTTGGCATCGAGCGCAGGGATCTAAACGGTGCCACTAGGCCGTCGATCAATGACTGCGCATGATCATGCAGTTGTTTATTTGTTTGAAGTGACTCGAGATGCTGGAGGAAATTCACCCTCCCATTTTCCGGAAGGTGGGCGTGGAACGCTCGTAAAATCTGAACTGTCTTATCCTTTGGACCGACGGTCTGGTATGCATCAACTTTCTCCATATTGGTAGCGAATTATTCGACAGCAGATATTGTCAGAGAGATGGAGACGCAATCGTTCGGAGCGTAGAGAGTGGATCTTCCTATCTTGGTTTAGCTCCCGCTCCCGTTTCCCGCTGTGTACCGCAACCCATTTGGGCCAAGCCCTTCCAATTTGGAAATGCTTATTAATATGTACATATAACCTTGGAAGATTCATCTCGAAGAACAAGAGAACTGCAGTGAGCCCTGATTTCGGCAGTCTGCCCCGGTGAGCAGCTTGCATTCCACAACGTGCAGAATATACCGTGAAAATGCCTTGGAACAAATGTTTAATGTAAAGCTTCATCAGGTATGGCTATAGCCTCAATCAAGAATGGGATACATGTAAGAAACGTGCTGCTATCGCATCATTACCAGCATGTCTGGGAATACTGCGCGTCTCACGCATCTCGGTCAGCAACTTTTCATGTTTGTTGAAATGGAATTTGGTCATTCATATTCGTCTTAAAATCGACCCGTTTCTCGGCGAGAGCCGAGGTTATCTGATCTATTGAGGGTAGCTGAACCACCTGGATTAATGCCTCCTGGTACACTGCTTCTCTTCAGCGGACTGGAGCTCCGCATCAAAGGAGTTGTACCACGCTCCTTATAAACAAAGTCACCGTTGCTTTGTAAGCGACGGTCAAATGAGGTTGTCGCAGACTTCCTCAGCGGCGAGTTTGCGTGGCTATAAACACCAAGGCTTCCTCCATCGCCCGTTGTTGCGGTAGATCGGAACTGCGGTTGTCGCATTGTTGTGCGGTTGGCACCTCGTGCCAGCGGTGAGCCATCTCGAGAAATGCTCGGGGTGTTGGTCGGGGGGCCTTGGAACATAGACGAGATCGGGGTAGATGCAGTTGACTGGCGGACCGGGGTAAAACCTTCTGGGTCGACGTGCTTGAGGTAATTAGGGTTGGGACTGGTCTTGAAACCACGGTTAATTACAACGGCGGGACTATAAGTCTCAACCCTGTTGCATTCTTCCTCGGTCTTTGGGTGTTCATCGTACGAGAACTGTGTGCCGACATCTCTCATCACGGGGTGTGTCCGAGGTTGTACATATTTGGTGTCATATTCTTTGAACACTTCCTTGTGTATAACCTTCTGGTCCTTGGCTTGCTGTGTGTAAGAAGACGAGATGAAGGACATTTGAACAGATAGAAGAGCTGTCAAAACGATGGTCGTCACAATCGTCACACTGGGTCGTGGGTCGGAAAGCTGTGTTGGGAGGAACAGCCAGTATACTAAGACGTGCCCGGGGCTGAACAAGCAAAAGAGCCGGAGGCAAAGTGCTGAGGGATCCCAAATTGCAAGCTCCCAAACATCCCGCTGTGCATCGGGGTGTGCTCTCGAGTGTGCCGATTCTGATGATAGCGCCTTGGCGATGTACCGCAAGGGAGACGGCATCCGGGGGCTTGAATCAACACGTACACGATGCGCTGAAGGTGTCGCCGGATTATTATCAATGGAGTTCTCAAATAGGCGATAGCGTCTCTTCTTTGAAAATGTGTAGAAAGCATTGGTCACGGAGGCAACGGCCATCAAATGGGCGATGAATGAGGCCTACGCGGAACATTCACGGCCGATTAGCTATCCATCCATGAATCTCAGGAATATGCAGGCAGCATGGAAAATAGGGAAGAAAGAGTAACGTACAAGCCACCCACGCAGGGACGTGCCATCGTCATCGCCGAACACATCGTCGAAAGCCTTGCTACCACCGGATCGACTATTTGCGCGCGCAATAAGCAAGATGACGTTGAGCGCGATACCAATAGGCAAAGCCCAGTTTTTTTCCAATTGATCCCAGTCACCGCCTTCAAATTCCTCGGAAATCCAAAGCAGAAAGTCATATGGATTCAGATATGAGAGTATGCGCTCGGAGAGCGGGCGGCGGCGTACAAGTCGAGGCATGATGTCAGAGGATGGTGCAGTAGACAGAAGCTGTTCCTCAGCAACTTCAAGCTAATCAATAATATAACAAAAGGACATCAAAGGTGAGTGTTAAGTCAAAGGAGGTTCCACGATTGTTTGCGGACAATCAAGCAATGGAGTAAACAAATCTGAGAAATTGCATCAGCTTATGTAATGAACAGCTCCCGGCGATAACCACGGCGATCAACGAACAGCTGGACCAGATCTGTCATTACTTGATCCATCTCGAACTAGTAGTTCGAGAATTGTGTGTCTCGGAAATCTCAGGTTCTTTTCTTTTTCCTCATCATGGCGGCATCGGCCGCAACATACAAGGTACTTGACATGAAGTCGATGGAATGACCCCTCCGATCGCTAACTTGGTACCCCAGGACCGGCAATTCCTTGCTGTCATTGGTGATGAAGAGTAAAGATCCTTCTTCCAATTTGTTCTTCGTCGGAAATATGGCAGTTGGCTAACCTAGCTCAACCTTACGCAGCTCCGTTACTGGTCTTTTGCTCGCAGGCATCGGGGTATGATACCGTTCACTACCCCATCTACGTCACGTCTCTAGGACATTTATAGGGAAAGTCATTCTAACCTGCTTGTTCTTTTCGCAGCATGTCACCGAACCACCAGGCTCCCAGAGAAACTTCCTTGTCGTAGATTCCAAAACCGAGACCTCGGAGATCGAACGGGCCTTCCAGAGCTTCACCCAGGAGAGGAAAGACATTGCTGTGCTCTTGATTAACCAGCATGTGAGTTGCCTCTCCATATCTTGCGCTGGATATATATAGCGCTCGCATTTTGTTGTCTACAAATCCGCTAACAGATACATCACTCCAGATCGCAGAGCGCATCCGCCATGTCGTCGACGCATTCGCCGATCCTTTCCCAGCTGTCCTCGAAATCCCCAGCAAAGACCACCCTTACGACCCGGAGAAGGACAGTGTTCTCAAGCGTGTCCGCCGCCTGTTTGGAGAGTAGACTTATTTTACATGGATTTTTGTCGTTGTCATTTAGCCGGGAAATGGTGTATTGGTTTCGCCGTTCCACCTCCAGGGTCTGCACACCTTTGATCCCACCATTGATGGTCTCGGCGGTTGAGCATAATTGGGAAGAAAATATGGAAATATCAGATAGGGAAGATACCCAACGCAACTGAAACGAGTTCGTATACCCTTTATATATATTTTCTTCGCAGCTATGTGGAATTTATTTCACTTACATTGCGTAGTCAGTAGAGATGGTGGTATTGTATATTGTAGTCACAGTCAGATGTATCTGTCAAGTTTACAGACGTACCTAGTTATATTCTATACAAACGATTGTGAAAAGGACAACAAATTCAAACAACGTATAAGTGAGGAATTCCAAATGATATCCGAAAGTACTGCAAAGCGTTATAGAAGTGGAAACAACAGAATGCAAAAATTGAAGTAGTCATGAGAAGGGCATGGAAAAGAGCATTGCGAAATGTTGACCTCCGAGTCAAGCACATAAGCTAATGACGTTGACAGTTCAGCAAATCGAGAGATGCCACCTGATCAGTGGATGCAAAGCAATGTCTAAAATAGACGAGATTAGAAGTGAAACACGATGTCATCCGCCTTGAGGCAAGTGACCTGGTTCCGCTCCTTGTTGTAGACATCAGCAAGAACGGAGTATTTGCCCTGTAAGAGAAGACATTAGTTGCTTGTATGGGTCCGACACTGTGGTAGAGAAACGTACCGGGGGGATCTGCTTGGGCAAGTCAACCTCCTTCTTCAAAATCATCTCGCCCTTCTCCAGGGGGCACTCCAGGTCCACATTCTTAAGCTCATCACATAGGTCGACGGTTTGCTTGATCAAAGTGATGAGACCCCACTTGACTTCCAGGTTCACGGTGGCGCCCTTCTCGATTCTCTCAAGTAAGGCACCTTTAGCGGAGATTGTCAAGGTCTTTCCTCTGTTGCGATCAAGATGTTAGCTAGAGAAATCAACTATATTGAGAGAACACTGTTCGTGGATGACGTACGGTAGAGGCGGGTTGGGTGCCAGATCCACCGACTCAATCTCGAGTTTGTAATTGTCTGGTTTGGCACAGTACTGCAGGGGATTATCACCCTTGACTGGGAACTTCTCGTTATCGTTCACTTTCAATGAAGCCTGTGTGGGATCGAAAACAGAGAATGCAGCTGCGTTCGCGAGCGGAGCGGTAAGAGCCAAGAGGCTGGCAGCTGATAAGAACCTCATGGCTGTTACAGCTGTAGTTTCAGAAAACGCAGGTACTAGATATCTCGGGTATGGGCAGTGGAATATGGCAAAAATAGTAGATTCTAGCTCAAATAAGGTGTGGGGTTGGGATCAAGAGGCGGAGGTAGAAGTTGGGGTGAGGAGAAAGAGATGTCACTTGATGACGCCTCACACGTGATCCCAGGGGCAGATCTATACCATTTCTGTCAACCCATGGTTCTACGCCTCACGTACCTGCAGGGTGTGGCTGAGAATAAAAAGTCCCTCGTGAGAAAGTTGCTTCCAGTATAACTTATTGATCTGTCTTATTATGCTACTGGGATCGTTGAATTTGCTCCCCTCTCATCTCATTCTAGAGGTGGGGAGTTAACCTGACCCACTATCCTCCAGTTCCTTATCAGTGATCGGCATCAAATCAGCAACATTTAAGCATGCTAAGTTGGTACTTTTATCCATCAACTTCTTTCTGAAGCGACATCCTTTCGAACTTCAAGGGTCCATCCGAGCTTGTTATTTCAGTTTCGGTATTCATTCACATAAATGATAGCCATATGCGGTACTGAAAAACCAACCAAACAACGATGGTTTGACAAAGACGTGGATATGTAGACGATGAAATGAAATGATATCCGGATAGTATATATTCCCTGGAAGTGGTTTTCTTCCGCAGTGGTACCCTGGCTGTACAGCTGAGGTGCTCGCAAAGTGTCAGATGACCTCCATTCACTCCTACATCTCGAATGGTGTGTAGACTTGGAATTATAAGCCAATGAAGTTGTCCAGCTGGCCGGGTATTATAGATTGCATTTAACTCATTATCCTGCGTACCACACTGTGAATGAGTGCTAACTTCGGGTTTATTGACTGGCTCGCCTCGTAAGCAATACATATGTAGTAGGAAAGTTTGACGAATCGTAAAACTTGTATTCATGCTGGACTCGCTCTACCAACTCTAATGTGATGAAAAGTAAACAAATGGCTTGATTATTTCCATTGAGAACTTCAGGAATCCCAAATCCACAACATAGGAACTCTCTGTGTATGAAGACCATAGAAAGAAATCAAGGCCGGGGAGGATGAGATCTTGGGGCGTTAGAAGCCCGAGGTCGCTGTACCAATGCTGCGTCTCTGAAAAGGTGGGAGGCATGCTTGGCAGTCATAACTAGAGCAAAGTAAAAGAATAAAGAAATTATATCACATAATGTTTATGCGAAAGGAAATCTGGGCTACTAGGGCTGGTCTCATTGTATGTCATTGTGGAATCTATTTGAAGTTAGACCCTTCCTAGCATAGGACGTGTAGTATAGTATTTAGAAGCGACATCAAAGCATCTCTTAACGAGACCTACGTCCTACTTAGTCGATTGCACCTAGAACTATAGTCCGCTGTCTACCGGCAGTATAGTCTTACGACCCATCAGACTGCGGACTTTGGACATAAGAGTAGTTGACCCGAACATATGGCTTGTTAAGGGCAGATCCGTGCTGCTCTTGACTACTACACTACTCAAAACATACCAAGGAGGACCTTAACTTCCAACAATGAGTCCCCGAGGCCCCACTATAACTACCATGGATGCTTAGGGCCCACATGCCCATGTGGGTGGACCCACTGACTGCAACCCTAACCATAGTGTAACTTGTTTACATTGACTATGAACGTTTATTGTTTTGGGAATATGATCTGTGGTAGCTCCGAGGCTATGGGTGTATTTATGCTTACTATAACAAGAGGGGCAACTATTGGCCGAATTATAGAGAGGAAAGCCTCAGAGTTTGGCTTTACCACTCTCAATCTGTGCCCAGCTCTGCTCTTCCAGCTTCCGATACTTTGTGCCGTCCAACCAGTAAAGAACATCACCGCCCCAGTCCTGACGAGGATCCCAGCCTTTCTTCGCTAGGTCACCTTTAGCCTGCTTGAAAGTGACACCTGTGGCAACCCTGTAGATTATAATTAGGTCAGCGAACAGATTGGAAGTTTTGTAATCAAGGGCATACTTACTTCTCGGTGAGTCGGACCAATCGAGGCAGGGCATATGAAGGAACACCCTTCTTCTTGAGTTGCTTGTATAAACTCGACATGAATTCAGTTTCAACTGATGGTGATTCCAGCGTAATACCAGCAGCTCCAGCTTGGCCATCATACCTAAGAAACCATTAGCAATGCCACCTCACCAAAAGAAAAATACAACAAAGAAGCCACAATACATACCCATTCAGCTTCACACCATATACCACAGCGTCATGTACACCTTCAATCCGGCAAATATGGTCCCGAATCTCTCCTGCGCTAACATTCTCACCCTTCCAGCGGAAAGTATCACCAACCCGATCCTGGAACCTTACCCACCCAGATTCATCTTGAACGACCAGATCACCAGTCCGCTGGAACAAGTCTCCCTTCTGGAACACATCACGCAGAAGCTTCTCCTCCGTTGCACCCTCATTACCTAGATACTCAATCACGGTACCACGATCCCGGACACGACCAATCGCCTCACCCTCCTCTCCAAGCGCAGCCTTTACACAGAACCCAGTGACAGGATCCCGGTACGGCATATCGGTATCGGTATCATACTTGACGATGAAAGTAACATCCTCCACGAACCGACGGATAGGCCCAGCAAACCCGATCTTACCAGCACCCCAAGCTCCAACACCGAAGTTATCAAATTTAGCAATTCCCTCTGTTGAGCGGTAGAACTCGCGGATCTCAGGGACGTTAAAGCGATTTCGGAACTTCTCCCAGATCTCGCCGCGCAGCCCGTTACCGCTTGCAACGATGCACTTGTGGTCTTGGTCATAGGGTGATGGCGGCGTCGCGAGAAGGTACCGACATAGCTCGCCGATGTACAGGATGCGTGTTGCGCCTGAGTCATGAACCTCTTTCCAGAAGCGGGAGGCGGAGAATTTCCGTCCGAGGCATAATGTGCCTCCATTTCCGATGGCCGAGCATAGACCAATAAAGAAGGCTGTGCCGTGGAAGAGCGGGAGGGGGGAGTATACGCGGAATGGTTGGTACTTTTTGGGGTTGTTGACGTCTATTGAGAGTGGGGTAGAAGTGATCATGGCGAGCAAATTGCGGATCCCGCAGGCTTTGGGTTTTCCTGTTGTTCCAGATGTGTAGATTAGGACGGAAAGGTCTTTCGTGGTGCGCTTAGCTGCTGTAATTCCTAATGGGGAGAATTGCTGTAGAGTTTCCGAGGTGACGAGCTCGGTTGAGCCTATTTCAGTATCTTCGAATGACCCCATGTTGTATGTGAAGTGTGGTAGGTCACCACAGATGTGCTGAGATATATCTGCGGTTGAGATGATTAATTTGGAGCCGGAGACGCCGAGACAATGGATGAAAGTATCGTCTGTCCCTAGTGTCAGCGGTCTATTCTCGTAGACTGGAATTGGATGATTAACAAACCTCGCAGACTTGTGTTAATCATTGCTGCCACAGCACCCAATTTTGACAGAGCATACAGGGTCACGACCATCTCTGGTGAGTTGGTGGTAAAAACAGCCACTGTGTCACCGGTGTTGATATCACGGCTCTTCAAAAGAGCAGCCATCTTGTCGGCCACTGAATACAGGTGGATTAGCAATTTTATACCTTGGTTTCTCCCAAGGGCCTATACTCACAGTCTTTCAATTGGCTGTATGACCACGTCTTGTTTTCAAACCAGAGCGCCTCAACGGTACCTCGTCCTTCGACCTCCACCGCCCGCTCGAGCATCTTGTAGATGGTTGGTGAGCCATCTAGTGCAGCGATGCGGTCTGTTAGCCGCTTTAGGCCAGCCTTATCGTTGGCGATTGCTCGCAGATCAGTGGAAATAGCAAGCTTCGCATTTAGATATGCACCGGCGGCCACCGACAAGGCTGATGCTACGGCCACAGCAGGCGCGCTGACTTCAGAGAAAATGTCCATTGCCACAGAGGCTAGGTTGTTTCTAGTACGATGTTGGTTGAAATTTAACAAGAGTTTGATATCTGCAGAAACAAAATAAGTGATTATTTTGCAACAGGAGTATCTATTCTCTAGAAATTCCGAAGCTGTCAGAAACTGGGATGAAGAATATAAAGATGCTCAAGTCTCAGTGGCTTAGACGGAAGCTAGCCAGACTCTATCTGCCGTTGACAATCTACGTCTCCTTAGCGCCCCTTTTACATTGGCCCAATGTCACTAGTTCACAGTGGAGTCTTCGGAAAGTTCCCCAGGTTCCTCCAGGGCTTTCCCCATACTTGGTTGTCCCCGGTTTGAGAGGTTCCCGAGGTCAACAGTTGCCTTCGGGCTTCTGAACTATTCAACTCAAGACAAAAGGCCTTGAAGACAAGTATTCTCTCGACTTCATGTTCTGTCAATACACTCTCGCATTGTCCTCCATCCAATGTCAATGCGCATGTGGGGCCGTGAGACATTTTGAAACAGCAATTTCACCAATAATAGCCTTCAAATACGGGCCGAGGAAAGAAAATTACAGTATCATACAATGTGTGACCCGAAGGCCCGGCACTTCCAATCGGCTCAAAAGTGTCAAATTCGGTTTGTTCTTGTTTGTTTTCCGTGTGGAGAAATCTGGAGATGCCGCGGTTGTTTTTAACATATGAAAGATATTAAATATTAAACCGTTCGGTCTTCTTCTTTTTTGTTCATTTACATATATTCCTCACACAATGTCTTCACCACAACAACGTCTAAGCTCCGTCGCCAACCAGCTGGCAGCTCCTGGCTCGGCCCGCCAAAAGCTTCTGGCCAAGAACCCAGATGATGTGGTATGTTGTTGATCTATAGCTATAACATCCGAGAGGTCTTTCATTGCAATAGCTAATCAATTCGCAGGTTATCACTTACCTGGCCCGCACGCCGCTCACCAAGGCCCGTAAGGGTGGATTGAAGGATACTAGCGTGGATGACCTCCTCGTGTCACTTCTCACGGTAATTTTTCCTTTATGATTAGAGGGTTAAATTGCAGTAACTAATTCATCGACAAGACTGTTCGCGAGAAGTCCAACCTGGACCCCAACCTTGTTGAAGATGTCTGTGTTGGCAACGTCCTTGCCCCCGGCTCCGCATATATCGCGCGTTCCGCCGTGTTGGCAGCAGGCTTCCCCGTAACAGCCGCCGCCTCCATTGCCAACCGATTCTGCTCTTCCGGTCTCCTGGCCGTGCAAAACATCGCCAACCAAATCATCGCTGGATCCATCGATGTCGGAATTGCTGTTGGAGCCGAGAGCATGACCAAGAACGCAGACGGCGGTGCCCCCGAAATGTCCGAGCAGATCACCAAGCACCCAATTGCATCCCAGAACCTCCAGCCTATGGGCCAGACCTCGGAGAATGTAGCTAACCAGTTCAACATCTCTCGTGAGCAGCACGATCAGTTCGCTGCCAAGAGTTTCCAGAAGGCTGAGCGTGCCCAGAAGGCCGGCTGGTTGAATGACGAGATCGTCCCTGTCAAGACTCAAATTAAGGACCCCAAGACCGGCGAGGTTAAGGATATCGTCGTTGACCGTGACGACGGCATCCGCTACGGCACTACCGCCGAGTCTCTAGGCAAGATCCGCGCTGCTTTCCCCCAGTGGGCCCCTAGTGCTACCACCGGCGGTAACGCCAGTCAGATTACCGATGGTGCTGCTGCCCTAGTTCTCATGAAGCGCTCGCGTGCTCAGCAGCTCGGTCAGCCAATTGTTGCCAAGTTCTGTGGTGCTACCGTTGCTGGTCTAGAGCCCAGAATCATGGGCATTGGCCCATCTGTTGCAGTCCCCAAGATTCTGAACAAATTCAACTTGAGCAAGGATGACGTTGATATCTTCGAGATTAACGAGGCTTTTTCCTCAATGGTGAGTGTACTACGAGTATGATCACTTTACGAAACTAACGCACGTCATTATAGGGTGTTTACTGTGTCAACAAGCTGGCCTTGGATGAATCCAAGGTGAACCCACGTGGTGGTTCTATGTAAGTGATCCTCTACCCAACTTTATTGACACCATGCTGATGTTCCAAAGTGCTTTCGGCCACCCTCTGGGCGCCACTGGCGCACGCCAGATTGTCACTGCCATGTCTGAGCTGCGTCGACAGGATAAGCGAATTGCCGTCACCTCGATGTGTATTGGCACTGTAAGTTACCTCCAATCATCATGACTTCACTCTCAGGGTATACTAATTGCGTCTAATAGGGCATGGGTATGGCCGGCATCTTTGTTTCTGAGCATTAAACATGCAGAAAAGCGTCTGCAAATAGTGACTGTGTTTATATTGTATATATTTTTTGTGCACACTGAATGCGACTCTGATGTGATACTATATAGCGCGTCGGTGCGATGAATGTCCAACTACTTAAACTCGCCGTCCAAATGAGTCAGGTGCAGATTTTCTAGTGAGACTGATGTTTGGCGATTTGACCAAGTTGATATCAGGCCGAAGAAACAAGATGCTAGGTGTCTCTGACCTGCCTTTCACCTGGTCTCGAGCTCACCTCCAGAATACTTGACATTCTCAATTCATCCCGCTTTGTTTTCTATTTCTTTTCCTATTCTCCTTACTCCATTCTCCTAATTCTCTTTGCCCTTCTAAGATTGCTAGTATATGCGTATGAGGAAGGTGCGACACAAAATCCTCCACCTCGCTTTCCTTCTTTCTATCACATGTCCGCTATCTTCCTCTCTTACCTCCCTTTCTACCTTGGACATGTCTACCTACTCCCTAGACCTCTATTTATAGGTTATTCCTCTTTCCTTGGGGGCAACTACAAACACAGGAAGGGCACACGTTTTCCAACCGCCAAAATGTGCGGCGTGCACGTGTTAAGGGTCAATGAATGCACGACCACTAGAAACATCCAAGTGGTGGAAAGGCTGCAGCTGCAGCTGGAGCTATGTAGGATGATGGCTAGCCCGTTGTCAAGATTCCGGTATGAACCCATATACCCATTTCGATAGCAAGACGAGTGCATCCGTACTAACCAGACAAGATAGGGCTCTGTTTATGGTGGATTTGCCGGTATTCGCTACGCAGAAGCCATCGGGATCTATGCCTTGCTCTAGCATAGAGTTAAGCACGAGCAGCGTTTTAGGGGAAGCTACAGTCGATAACAATGTTGTAATCGACCTTTTAAAAGTCATCGACAAAACCTACCCTCGTATCCGGAAAGGCTTGTTCATTCGGAAAAATGGGCTGACCCTAAAAATCCCGAATTATACCCACGAAGCCCCGCACGCCCGGTTCGCAATGGGCAGTCACAAAGCGTGGCATCTCGTCGGTGTCGAGCAAGACTGAGATATTTCAGTCAGGAGAAAGCGGATTCTCGGACTACGCACATATCATTATCTAGGGACTGAAACAACAACAAACAAACACATGTTCCTGACTCCGCAATGCAAGAGAACCGATTCGAGGGTCAGGGATCAGTCTGGGGATGTTTAGACCACCTCGACCCTTGGGGAATTAGTAACGTGGCCATGTTGATGAGCCTTCTCAAGACTGAGTATACATACGAATCAATGGTTATATTTGACAGTGTTTTCCTTTTTCAGGGAGTAGAATAAAAGCTTCAGGCTTTCTTCACAAATTCAATCTTCCTGGCCAACCAACAACCGATCGTAAATCCTTTAATTTGATCATTCTCGTCCCGAGAAAAGACCATAGTCCAATCTCCTGGAGCTGGTGCATCCAAACCACGTGGACAAGTCAAAACCCAGACATCTTCTCCAAGATGTTTCATTGGAGTGGTATTTCCCTTGCCCAAATATCCATCAAACGCACCGTATAGCATGCCATCCCCACCAATACAATGGAAGGTAGATTCAATTTCAACACCCTGATAGACACCTAGGAATGATGGGTCTTTAAGGGCTGAGTCTTTCGGGAGAATACGTCGAGCATTGAGGGTCCGATTATCCGCCAAACGATTGATAGTCAGTGTATTTGTATCAATTGACCCACTCATTGAATCAGACTTCCCCCAAGTCGCTTCATCAAGTTTGAAACGTGTGGCAGAGCCATCGTACTTGATGTCCAGCTCTCCATCAATTGCGCCGTTAGTGGGGACAACGGCAATCGACAGCTGGGTATCCGGATCAAGGTACACGCCATTCCAATACATGTCCACCTCGCGGGGTATCAAGCCACGAATGGGTAATTCCAAGAGATCCCGGAATATCTTAATGGTGGGACCGTATGCGTCGGCGTCACTGTTAAGCATAACGACGACGGATAAGCGGTCTTTTGGTGAGTGCCGCCGGTGCAGACGATACCCTCGCAACGCTCCGCCATGCCCAATAGTGTGCACCTCATTGATGTCAGCGTGACTTAGCCCATAACGGTACCTTGCAGTGGTACCGTCACTGAACTTAGGATCAGCGATAGCGGTATTGTACCAGCTCTCTGGGTCAGCGTAACAACGATCGATATACTTCTCGTACGCGATCATATCAGTGAGCGAAGCCACTAATCCAGCATCACCAGACCATTCCATTCTATTGACAGCGGGTGTGAAACCGTGCTCCTCGTCGCCCTCGTATCCGACACATGGGGGTGGGTGTTGTGCCGTGTTGGGACAGAGGAATGCCGTGCTCATACCAGCCGGCCGGAGGATCCTCTCTTCGAGCAATTTATCAAGAGACTCGCCAGTCGCTCGTTCAATCACCCGGGCAAGAATGTGGAAGTTGACATTGCAGTAGGAATATTCCGTTCCCGGCTGGAATTGGAATGACTTGGTTTGAGCAAGCATTGGAGCGCTGTCTCTGGCGATCAGAAACTCGTCGTCCGGCTTGGATCCCCAGAGTGTGGTCATAGCCCAGTAGTCGCGCAGACCGGATTGCATGTCACATAGTCGCTCAATTGTGAGTTCACCGTCACGGGTGAGCTCCGGGCTTAGTATTTCCGTGAGATGAGCTGTGAGCTGCTCCCGGACACTGCCTTTTGCAGCTAATGCCGGAGTTGGATTGCGCTCCAGGTCGAGCAACAGCGCACACACGAACTGTTTGGTAATTGAACAGATGGGCATTTGCGTTTCAACCGTCATAGGAATCCGATTTTCCAGGTCGGCCAATCCCCACACGTGCTGGCCGATGAGCTCGCCATCTTTCACGACAGCGATGGCACCTCCTGGGCCTCGACAACGGAGGGCTCTTTCGATCAAAACGTCTTGAACAGTCTCTTTGGTGATTGCCATACTTTCAGATTGAAGTAGTATAACAAGGGGAGTTCGTACACTTCGATGTTCGACCGTTATGTACCCCTCTTCCAATTACCCCTCTTCCATCCTGTCGGTTATCGGAGATAACAGACAGTTGCTAAATATAGCACCGCGTAAGTACATTGAGCTCGATTCGATACAAAGGTTGGCCAGTATTTCAAAGAAGTGACAACCAAACTCATGTTATTGATCCCATAATGTGTGCTTTGAATCTATCCGCATACATATATGTAGAGTTTGGGCGCCAAGGAATGTCATAGCGCCACGCTACCTTCCAATCTTTAGCCATCAATTGACTATTGGCACTACGATCGCGAATCCTCTACAAACCCTCCGGTCATGGGGTTCCGCCAAAACTAGCCGAAAGAAGATAATAACCATTCCCTACGGACTATTTTCCTACCAACAGTCACATACAGCTAAAATGCCATTACACTCAGGCTTCAGTAATAGACAAGGCCAAAGTCACCAGGGAAAATATTAAGCTGCGCTAACTTCGGGCACTTAAGTGTACTTATTTTCATCTTAAAAGCAGGTACGGAGTATAAACAGTTAGCGTCGACGTGTGACAGTGGTACAAGTCCGGAGTAGTCCGAACTATAATGGATTTGATCAATATGACTGGGTCTAAATGAAATATACGTACGGAATAGTAAGGGGTAATCTGCATATACTGGACTGACAATTACGCGAGGATGGCATACAAAAACAAATATCAGAGACATTGTTTGACCTATACGGAGTACTCCGTAATTTAGTACTCCGTACTCCATACTCCGTAGACTAGTACAATGTAATGATACCCCTGCGGGCCGATCGTTAATCTCTCAATGATTGAGCTTAAAGGGGGGTTGGCTAATAATAGACTGTATAGGGGAGAGATTAGTAAACCCCTGATGGAACCTTCCAAGGTTGGAAATGGATTGGATCATGCAATGACACCCGTCTCCACCAGGGTGTCTCTGTCATATTTCTCTGTGCATAGGGTCTTCCATACTTCCCATCGAGTATCCGCACTTAGGGTGCCAGCGACCCACTATATATACATATAAAATGCAACAAAATGAAATTGACGGGTTTAAATGTGGATGGTCGAAGAAACCCTTTGTTTCCGAAGCCGGATAGAAATATCCGGGGAGATCGGGCAAATCATCGAAAGCAGCCTCGGGATCCATGGATTTATCACGCCCCACAGCTCATGCATATTTTTGGAATCAATTAATTCACGGCTCATCCAATCGGAGGGTTTAAAAAAGAGTTAAAGTGGACAAGCAAACGTGTTCTGACCCACATAATCCACTGAACTACGCTGTGGCGGAATCTAGACTTGGGTTCCAAGGTTTTCATGCCCAGAGCCTTGCTTTCGGCCTTCAGAGGGCTTTCGGTCTTTAGAAGGCTTACTTCTTCCGTTTGCAATTTTCACTTTCACTTCTACCTTCACTTCTATTTTCATCTCTTATCAAAACTTCCCTGGCCACATTCTTTATTCCAGGTTCTTTTTCATCTCATTCTCATAGCCACTACCAACACTCGTTAAAACATTCAAAATGCGTTCCGCTCAGTTCCTTGCCCTCGCGATGGCCGTCGCCACCTCCGAGGCCGTCTCTCAGGGTTTCAACTACGGTGCCCTCAAGGTCGATGGCAGCCTTAAGACCCAAAGTGACTTCGAGACCGAGTTCTCGACTGCTAAGAACCTCGTCGGAACCGACAATGCCTTCACCAGTGCCCGTCTGTACACCATGATCCAGGGTGGCACAACCAACGGCCCCATCTCGGCCATCCCCGCTGCCATCAAGGAGAAGACCACCCTTCTCCTTGGTCTCTGGGCTTCCGGCGGTGACATGAGCAACGAGATCGCTGCCCTCAAGTCCGCCATCTCCACATACGGCGATGCCTTCACTGACCTCGTCGTCGGTATCTCCGTCGGCAGTGAAGATCTCTACCGTAACTCCGTCATCGGTTCCAAGTCCAACGCCGGTCCTGGTGTCGAACCCGCCGAGCTTGTTGACTACATCAACCAGGTCCGATCCGCCATCTCCGGCACTTCCCTCGACGGTGCCCCCATTGGCCACGTCGACACCTGGAACTCATGGACCAACAGCTCTAACGCTGCCGTCGTTGAGGCCGTCGATTGGCTCGGTTTCGATGGATACCCCTACTACGAGAACACCGACCCCAACTCCATCGACGATGCTAAGGCCCTCTTCAACAAGGGCGTCGAGAAGACTAAGGCTATCGCCGGCGGTAAGGAGGTCTGGATCACCGAGACTGGATGGCCCACTACTGGTCCCACTGAGAACCTCGCTGTCGCCAGCATCCCCAACGCTAAGCAGTACTGGGATGAGGTCGCCTGCCCTCTTTTGGGTGTTACCAACACCTGGTGGTACATCCTCGAAGACGCTGGTACTACCTCCCCCAGCTTCGGTGTCACTGGCTCCTCCACCGACACCACCCCCCTGTACGACCTGAGCTGCAAGAAGACCTCCACATCTTCCAGCGCTGCCGCCGGTTCCTCTAGCACCTCCGCCTCTGGCTCTTCCGCCACTGGCTCCGGCTCTGGCTCTGGCTCTGGCTCTGGATCTGGCTCTGGCTCTGGCTCTGGCTCTGGCTCTCACTCTGGCTCCGGTAACTCTGGCTCCGGCTCTGGCTCTGGCTCCGGAACTGGCTCTAACTCCGGCTCCAACTCTGGCTCTGGCTCTGGATCTGGATCTGGTTCCGGCTCCGGCTCCTCCTCCGTCGGTCCTTCCTCCTCAGCTGTGAGCAGCGGCATCCGCCCCTCCACCAAGCCCAAGTCCAAGAGCGCCTCTGCCTCCGCCACCGGTGTCCCCTCCAGCACCGGCTCTGGTTCTTCCCCTGTTGCTACCGGTGGCAGCAACCTCGGCTCCGGTAACTCTGGCTCTGGTTCCGGTTCTTCTGCCTCTCCCTCCACCTCAACTCTCCCCGACAGCTCTGCCACCCGTGTCGCCGGCTCTGCCGTCGGTGCCCTGGTTGCCGCTCTCGCCCTTGCTTTCACTTTCTAAGCATGTCAATTCTTTCTTGGGCGATTTGGAGTGATTGGTTGGAATGATACTCACTCACCTTGGTCATTAGATGGTCGGTGATCGGCTGGTTTTATGTAATATTTTCTTACGTTTGTGTACTTTCTCTTACTTTTGTGTACTCTTTCAAATTAGGCTTATTAGTCTATCATATGGGTTCGTTGTACGTTACATCAAAAGTAAAAGTTTGAAGTCTACATATCCTCGCAGAATCTTTCAGGTCCGAGTAGGGTTGTAATGATGAGTCGTTTTTAGTTATACTTATTCATGATATGCCATACGCATGAACCCTTGGGGTCGCAGATGGATGGACTTGGCTCACTTAAAGAGTAGTATGAGCCCTAAAAATAAACTATTTCAACCAGCCTCCGTTCCCACCATTCGATTTCAAAGTCAAATACATATCTCTCAGTTATCTACTCACTTCGTTGCCCTTCTTCCTCCCCGTTCCCTATGTATACATGTATACAGTGATAGGGTTCCAAACGCAATCAGAGAACAGGAGTTCAAAAGAGGAAAGTGCGGCTCAAGTAGAGCCAAGTATATATAACGTTGAAAGATACTTATAAAAAATTTAGAATCTTAGCAGCAAATTTTTCCTTGAATTTGCCGTTTCTTCATAGGATATAAGAATCAACAAATAATTTCGCAATCTTCATCAGAAGTCGACTAAATCTAGTTGTACTGCAGTCCATTGTATTGCCTCATTGGCAGCCTATTACCGCTATTTCAGATTTTCCCTCGAATTGACCATTTTTAGTAGTTTTTCTATGCTGTGGTAGTATTCTAGCAGTCTTTTGAACAGCCTCTTTAGATATTTTTACTAGATATGCTGTTTTAGATATTTCCCCATTAGGCTTGTTAAAAGCCACCAAATCCACCGAATGCGGATGTTGTGAAATCCAACGATCTGATAGGACGAGATGAAGGAGTCAAGCACCAACTAAACCCAACGCGATATAGTCCAATTTGACCAAATCCAGTTTATCGTGATCGGCACTTTCATTGCAATGCAACTGGTTCATCTGAAGATGAGGGTTTAATACGCGGGGCTTGTCATTTAACTCGATTTTTTCCCTTCTTTTGTCACCCTCATCTTTTCTCTTCCTCAGTCATGGACCGGGATCAGCAGAAAGACGATATACACTCCACTGTGGAGGTGGAGGGTCCTCAGGCCAAGATCGACCAGCCGACTGCACCAGATCAATTCGATGAGAGATACCGCACCACCCGGATGGAAATCTGGGCCTATTATGCGTGCGTGGATTATTGAATCGTCCCTGTGCGAAATCTAAACACCACTATAGCTATTACATTGGAAATAACGGCTTATCGCTGTTCAGTAAGTCTATGCGCATTCTCAGGGATCTTAACTCGCAGAAACTGACCCCGTTCTAGACTTCGCGCCAACTGCTTTTCAAAACTTACTCTACCAAGCAGCGCCTTCCGATGGACTACTCGACTTTATAGGAAGACCACGCACAGTCAACAGTATCGTTCTCCTGTCAAATGGAATCTCCTTCGCAATCCAAGTCGTGGTATTCCTGGTAATTGGCAGCTTCGCCGATTTCGGTTATTGGCGACCCAACATCTTGATCGCGCTGTCGATCGTCGCCTATGCCATCGGATTCGGCTGGTTAGGTGTCCATACCTCGGACAAATGGCATGTCGCTGTCGGTCTGTATATGGTCGGTTTGATCGCCTATCAGACCACGCTCACTTTCTGGACCGCTGCGTTCCCAGGCCTGGCGCGCAATTCCGTCGAAATGAAGGAAAAAGCAGACGCTTATGTGGCGGGGAGAATTACTCGTGATGAGTACGACTATGCGGACAGCATGATGCGCAGCAAGCTGGCCAATGTTGCTTTCTATGTCCAGTCCGTCGCGGAAATCTTTATTCTGGCGATTATTGTGGGGATCATGTTCGGGTTGCATGTCAATGATAGCGAGAGCAATAACAACTGGGGACTTAGTGTGCTTATCGCATTCGTTTCCGGTGTGTGGTTGCTTGTCTCGATTCCGTGGTTTGTTCTTGAGAAACGTCGGCCGGGCCAAGACCCTGGGAAACGGTCGATTCTTATTGCAGGCATGTGGCAGTTATGGCATGCTATGAAACAGATCTGGCATTTGAAGCAGAGTCTTATATACCTGATTGGTAAGATTTTGTGTTGTACTATATCTATTTCTGGCTACTGGGTGCTGACTGTGTTGGAAATAGGTTATTTCTTACTTGGAGACTCTCTTAACACCACTGTGACTGTTATTGCAACTTTACAGAATAGTATAGTTGCCTATAACACCCTGGAACTGACATACCTGCTTATTGTTGGTATTGCCGCACAGGTGGGCTTCGATTTCATGAACTATTTACTTAGAAACTGACAGATCTCTCTTAGGCGGTTGGCATATACGCATTCTGGGCAATCCAGCAACGATTCAAGCTCGGAACCAAAACCATGTTCAACATCATCGCCGTTGGAATCATCCTACTGGATGGCTGGGGTATGATCGGTATCTGGACCAACAAGTTCGGCTTCCACAATGCATGGGAAGTCTGGGTATGTCAATACCACTCTACCATATGAGCAGTAATGTCTAATCGATTCTATAGGTCTACCAAGCATTCTACGGCCTTTTCATATGCCCTTGGTACAGCTACTCGCAAATCATGATTTCAGAAGTCACGCCACGCGGCCACGAGTTTTTATTCTTCAGTCTCTTCAGCATCATCGGCAAGACTTCGTCTTTTATTGGTCCTCTCGTCTCAAGTGCAATTATCGATGCAAGTCCATCGGGCAATGTCTCGATGCCATTCTACTTCTTGTTTGCATTGAGTGTTGTCAGCTTTGTGATTCTGTTCTGGGGTGTTGATTTGAAGAAGAGTCAGGAAGAGCAGGAGAGGTTCTTGTTGGATAAGTTGCGACAGTTGAATTCCAGTTCATCGTCTTCCGATGAGCGCACTTCTGGAGTGGTCTGAACTACTGTCTTCAGATACATCATGGGTGGTTGACTTTTTCTGGTGCTTATTTATATAGGCAGTGCGGCTTGGGGGATATAGGCTGAATATACGTACCGCAATTGCCATCGGTAATAATGATATGATGCACTTCTTTAAATACGACTATTGATAGAAATACAAAAGTGACGAGCCATAGGTTTGAGAGAGGTATATGAGAGGCAGACATGTCAGTAGTCCTCGGAGCCCTCAACATCAAGCAGGGCCTTTTTACAGAATTTCTTCACTCAGACTGGCGAGATTTGAAAAAAGAAGATCATTTCTTGGTATTGAACAATATTTTTTGTAAATGTACACACCAGCTTGGGGCGTACACGGGTTGCAACGTTGCAACGGAGAACCAGGAGACAAGACATTTAAACGCCAGACCTATGCACTGCCATAAGCGCCAATTCCGATACAAGATACCGATACCACAATCAAAGAGCAGATCATTCCCCATCGGAAGAAGCGTCCTTGGACTTGCTCTTCTTCTTTTTCTTCTTCTCTTTGCGCTCGGCAGCCTCGTCGGCATCGACGTCCTCCTCGGCCTCGCGTTTCCGCTTGCTCTTTTCCTTCTTTTCCTTCTTCTCTTTCTTTTCTTTCTTCTCCTTCTTCTCCTTTTTCTTCAACTTTTCCTCGAGATCGGCCGGCAACGCCTCCTCGGGCGCAATGAAATCCTTCTCGCGCTCGCGCATCTTCTCGTCCCGCTTGATGCGCTGTCGCTCGACAACCTCCTCCTTGTGAACACGCTCCTTGGCCTCCTTTGACAAGAAGTACTCTCCAGACTCGATCTGCAAATCGACCTTGCTCTTCTCCGGCGCAGGAGGGAATGGTGTGTAGACCTTCTTCTCCTTGTCGGTGACCTTGAACGGCACGTGGCGCTTGGACAGCGTGCGCTTCTTGAAGTTAGGCAGGAACCGGTCCCAGGACTCTTCCGCCAGCGTCGGGTCCTTGGCGAGCTCGCGCTTGATCATCAACTCCTTGATGTGGTAGATAGGGTGAATGTTTGCCATGCAGTCATCGATAATTCGTCGCACCTCCTTCAGTCCCTTGAATGGACCCATCACAGCCACTGTGTTACCCTGCACCAGGATGTATGTGCTGGTAAGCAGTTCGAGTGCTTTGAGTGTTGAACCGTTGGGGCCGAGAATGCGCTGTCGTCGCTTCACAAATCGCTCTTTGTTCCGCACTTGGTTGCGGATCTTGATCACGTCGCATGCCACACCGTCTTCGAGAATCTTCATCGCTTGTGTCACCGGTACGCTTCGTGCAAGCAGCTTGATCAGATCACGAGCTTTCATAATCGCTGCTGGGTCGTAGGTCTTCCGCGTCGTCTTCACTGTCATGCTACCCTCAACCAAATCCAGTGTGCAGGCAATGCCCTGCTTCTCCAGAGCTCGTGTGATCACCGGCCATGCTTCCTTCAGGTACTGTTCACGGTATTTGGGGAAGAGTGTCATGAAAGACGACTCTTCGGCGAAACTGCCCGCGGCATTGTGTTCGGGTTTGAATTCTTCGATCTGTTGCGAGGATCAGTCAGTAAGGATTTTTCAATCGTGAAAAAAAAACAGAGAACAGTTGTTGACTTACTCTCCACTTATCGATATCATCCGTATCCCAGGCCTTCTCCTTATTGTGTGTTGAAGGCATCTTGTTGGTGGTGACTTAATCGCAAGGAAAAAGAATTGGCGACTGTTCCAGAGCTCAAATGAAAATCCGCGCCAACTTTTTTTCCTCCCCGCTTTCCCCGATTGGGTAGACCCTATTGCCTTACATTTCAGGCACCAACGCGTCTAGATCGGGAGTTAAGGCTGCGTAACTATCTTCCTCTTCGCTAGCTCTACGCTAATATTCTGCTCTGTATATTCTACAAAGGTCACGAAACATATTTGAAGTTGGGGGCCAAGTATTATTGAGAATAGAGACAGTCTGTCCTCAGGTACTCCGTACATGGAAGACGAAAGAATTGGAGATTGTTTGTGGCA